CTTGACACATAAGCATGTTTCTCAAGATGGAGCTTGGTTATTGAAACCTAGTCTCGTCTTTTGGTTAAATGAATACACATGCTAAAAATCTTAGGGAAGTAAGCGACATACAACAAAGATGACAAGGTAGAACACATGATGAATTTGGCGAATGTTTTTCAAAGTTTAATGCTCTTATATATAGGTTTGTTGTACTCTCATGATGGAACTCATTAATGATATTAGATTTTGGGATAAACGAAATGTTGAAAAGTTACCGAACTCGTTAAACTCTCCTTCCTCTTTGAAGTTTTATTCCACATTTGATGAATCCAGATAATGTAAAATATCTCGGGTCAACCAAATAGTCAAGATGATTCAAAGTTTCTATTAATCAAAGAGCTATGAATTTGTGGTGTATTCTATTAATTGCGTTATCCCCCTCTTGAATGAAGATACGTACATGTATATTATACAAGATACAACCTAATGGGAATCGGGGAACTTCCTATATTCTAGTAGATTTTCCTTTTTGATTCCCATCTTTTCCTTTTTCTTCATAGACTCCAGGTCTGTTGAGTCGGTTGGGCGAACTTGCAACTCTGTTCGTCGTCATGTGCCGAGATCACACATCGTGCTTGTCGATAGACCTAGCTCGTTTCCCTAGGCCGGGCTCCAATATATTATCGGATCGGTTTGGATCCGGGTCGGGTTTTTAAGTTGAGTGCTAAAGTTTACTCCATGAACATTCAACACTTTTATACTTTCTAATAGTTAGGCGTGTGTCCCTGTCTCCAACAAGAGTGATAAATCAAACCAAGCGATGAATCGATTTATGAAAATTAGTATTCCACATGCTGTTTAGCTCATCAATTAATAGTAAGGATACACGCACTAATTTCCGAAAACTGTTTTCAAACTCGTTAATCTTTGGGACATTACACGGTTACGCCCTAAGTATTACAAGCAGCACAATGGTGCATTTACAAAGGTTGAGACGGAATATTTCAACAAAAATCTATACTTCTTTCGGTTTAACGTGAAAATCAAATTAGGGTTTGGTTTCTCTCTTTACGTGATAATTTTTTAAAAATTATATAAATGTAAATAGAACCTTAAAATAAGTTTTTATTTGTGCTCGAACAGTTTTTATTCTTTTAAGTATGAGAAATTACTCAGAATAACTCACATTTTACCAATTATTACTAGAATAACATCCTAAAAATAAGTCTTACTAGAATGACTCTGT